ACTCCCAACTGATAACCAAACGAGTCTCTGAATTCCAAACGTGCAATCAGATCAAATATCACATCCTTGATGTGACCAAATGCTGAGCAATCAAACATCCGACGTAACCCAAAATCTGAAGCAGCTCCACTAGACCCTAAATCTCCAAACACAGCAGTCGGCAACCTATGACTAAGATGACCCAAACATGTCGAAGCCTCAACACCAGAATCAATGTTTGACATCAAACGCTGATCCTCCTTCAGAAAAAAACGATCAATCAAAAATGTCATCTTATCTCGTTGCCCCAATGTTTCCCCTCCAATGAAGTATCTCAAACTGTCATGAGCTCGGCACGAATACAGAAAAAGATCCCTCTTATACTTCTCACTAAAATTAGAACGGAGTACCTTCATCCTTCTGTCTTTCTTACATGTTGTAGACTACTAGGACTTCACTCAAGCGGGACTTTGTTGCAACCCAAACATGCTTATAACAGTCGTCAACAAAGGAAACCAAATATCGATTACCTTCCAATGATGCCTCCTTGAAAGGCTCCCAAATGTCTGAATGAATACCACCTAGAAGACCCCTCAATCGATGGATTGAAGCGCCAAACTCCACATCGGTCTCTTTGCTCATACCAATGTGCTCAAAGGATTTCAATATGCAGGTCAAGACACTTCTCAATAATCCAATGCATTGTATCAACAATCAAATATCTCAGCCTTAAATCCTTCTTTCTCAACCATAATTCTCAAAGCACCAACAAAACAATGCGGAACAAACGAAGAATAGATCCAAACTGAAAAGAGAGATTTTTACCTCCAACAGAAACCCTAATAAGAACATCCGAAAGATCTCATCCACACACGACTGTAGACGAGATCACCAATAGTAAAAATCCCACATTTATCACTAACTGAAGCCCTAGACGAACTTCCAAAGCGATCTACTCCTCCAATTAGTCCAAGCGTAGCAAAAGCTCTGATACCACTTGTTGTGCGCGGCGGAACGTTTTAAAATTTTGTGCTCTTAATGGTATTATTCATCAAACTTCATGCTCTCACACTTCACAACAAAATGGAGTTGCTGAGAGGAAGCATAGACATATTCTCGATGTTGCTAGAACACTGATGATACATATGAATATTCCAAAGTACTTGTGGTCGGATGCTGTCCTCACTGCCTGTTATTTGATTAATCGCATGCCTTCCTCTGTTCTTGATGGTTTGATACCATTCCACTGTCTTTATCCTGCTAAAAAACGTTTTTCTGTGATTCCTCGAGTTTTTGGTTGTACGTGTTTTGCTCAGGATTTGACTGCTGGGTTGGATAAATTATCTCCTAGGTCCATTAAGTGTGTGTTTGTTGGATACTCACGTACTCAAAAAGGGTATAGGTGCTATCATCCAAACACCAGGAGATATTTTGTTTCTGCTGATGTTACCTTCTTTGAGTCTGTCCCATACTTTTCTTCTGGTTCCACTACCTCTGTCAGTCCACAGGTACCTCTACCATCTACAGCTCCCACTACTATTCCGGTATCTGCTCCGGTTGCTGCTGCACCACAGCCTCTACTGACGTACTCTCGCCGTCCTAAAGTACATACGCCAGTCTCTGTTCCAACTGACTCCTCTTCTCCAGCTGCAGGTCCATCTCATGTCGAGCCCCATATCTCTTCTGACTTAGATGTTCCTATTGCTCTTCGTAAAGGTAAACGGTCTTGCCCAAAATATCCTCTCTCTCTTTTTGTCTCTTATGACCGTCTCACCCCATCCTTTCGTCAGTTTGCTTTGTCCTTGTCCACTATATCTTTACCCAGGTCACATGAGGAAGCTTTGTTAGTACCCGCCTGGAAACAGGGTGGCTACTGCACCAAAGCCTCTACTGACATACTCTCGCCATCCTAAAGTACATACACATGTCTCTGCTCCTGCTGACTCTTCTTCTCCAGCTGCAGGTCCATCTCATGTCGAGCCCCATATCTCTTCTGACTTAGATGTTCCTATTGCTCTTCGTAAAGGTAAACGGTCTTGCCCAAAATATCCTCTCTCTCTTTTTGTCTCTTATGACCGTCTCACCCCATCCTTTCGTCAGTTTGCTTTGTCCTTGTCCACTATATCTTTACCCAGGTCACATGAGGAAGCTTTGTTAGTACCCGCCTGGAAACAGGCTATGGATGAGGAGATGAATGCACTGCTTTCTAGGGGAACTTGGGATATGGTCTCTCTCCCTACTGGTGCAACTGTGGTTGGCTGCAGATGGGTGTATACCTTGAAATATCGCCCTGATGGGTCTGTTGATAGATATAAAGCTCGCCTAGTTGCTAAAGGATATACTCAGACATATGGTATTGATTATTTTGAGACTTTTTCTCCTGTTGCGCGTCTAAACTCCATTCGTATTCTCTTCTCTCTGGCTGTTAATCTGGATTGGCCTATGCATCAACTAGATGTGAAGAATGCTTTTCTTTATGGTGATTTGGACGAGGAAGTTTATATGGAGCAACCTCCTGGGTATGTTGCTCAGGGGGAGAATATTGTCTGCAGACTGAGAAAGGCCATCTATGGGTTAAAACAGAGTCCGCGAGCTTGGTTTGATAAATTCAGCAAGGTTATTTCTAGTGTTGGTTTCCAACGCTGTCATTCTGATCACTCTGTCTTTCTTCGACGCACAACAACTGGTTTGGTTATTTTAGCCGTTTATGTTGATGATATTCTGCTCACTGGGAGTGATTCTGTTGCCTTAATAGAGACCAAGGAGTATCTAAACCGTCATTTTGTCACTAAGGACATGGGAAAGCCAAAGTATTTTCTTGGGATTGAAGTTGCATATCAAAAACATGGCCTGTTGTTGTCCCAAAGGAAGTATGTGCTAGATTTACTAGAAGAAGCAGGTCTCTCGGGATGCAAACCTTCAAACACTCCAATGGAGGCAAATCTTGATTTGTGGCGTGATGATACCTCTTTACTAGAAGATGCTGGACAATACAGGAGACTGATTGGTAAGCTAATCTATTTGACAGTTACCAGACCTGATATTACTTTTGCAGTGGGTGTACTGAGTAGATTTATGCACAAACCTAGAGAAGTCCATTGGACAGCTGCCCTAAAAATTTTGGCATATATCAAGAGTTGCCCTGGTAAGGGATTGCTATATAAGAAGCATGGGCATACTCGCATTTCTGCTTTCTCTGATGCTGGCTATGCAGGAGATATGGGAGACCGAAAGTCAACCTCAGGTTTCTGTACTTTTATTGGAGGTAAGAAACAAGATGTAGTATCACGATCTAGTGCAGAGGCCGAATATAGAGCAATGGCTCACACTGCTTGTGAGATGGTGTGGCTAAGAAAGTTTATGACAGAACTTGGTCTTGTTCAACCTGGACCCATGCCTATGCATTGTGACAACCAATCTGCCATTTACATTGCACAGAATCCTGTATTTCATGAGAGGACAAAACATATTGAAGTTGACTGCAATTTTGTCAGAGATGCTTGGGAGAAGAAGATAGTATCTCTCATATTCACTCCGTCCTCACAACAACTTGCTGATATTCTTACCAAGGCTACATCTTCAAAGGTGTTCTCTACTATATGTGACAAGCTGGGCATGATAGATATATATGCTCCAGCTTGAGGGGGAGTGTTAAATTAAGTAGTAGGTTAAGTATTGGGTATTGGGTTAATAGAACGTTACCCATTAACCTTAACCCTATTGTATGGCTATATATCTCTCTCTTATGATCTCAATAAAGATTGATTAGGGTTTTATCTATTTCTACAATCTTAAAAACAAAACAGCTCTAATAGCAAGTTCATTGCAATTGCGAAAAGACCAGGGATAGCCATCTGGTAAGCCCTTTATGTGATTACCTGTAAGTAAAAGCAATCAGAAGACCAGGGATCATAACATCCCCAAAGCCAACTATTGCAGTACCACCCCAGGGATCAAAAAATCGAGGAACTGACAGAAGCATCGGAATGGATTGACCACCAGCTTTGGTACCTCGAGCAACCTAAGAAACAAAGATATTAAATGATGTGTATGTTTATATAAGAAACCAGGAATAGTTCAGGAGCATCATTACTGTTTCTTGATAAAGATCGAGATAGACTATCATCTTTAAGCTAAATGGTGGTCCTTGGATGCATTTTTTCTACCATTAATTTGGGAGTTAATGTTATCTTCTTCTGCATGTAAAATATGTGTGCCTACCTTGTCAAGGATCCTTGGAGGGAAGTTGGGTTCTATTACTGGAACATAAAATATTATGACACAAGAGGAATATATACCGTTCAAACACACCACTTACTTACGCAAACAATTATATGCCGTCACATGTGCGCGCGTACATGCACATGCAACATACATTAAACTGCAGAGTAAATAATCACTAAAGGAAACAATCAAGAAGAAACAATCAAGAAAAGTGTTATTTTCTTGAGGATCCCCACCCAAACAACCAGAAACGAAATATAGTTTAAAAAAAAAACAATGCATGTTTCATCAATTCGACAACTCATAAATGGAGGAGGAGCGGGAAAGAGATACTTACTTCAACCATTACACTTTTGTGGAATATATAAGGCGATATAAAGACCCAAAATATATCATAGAAAAATGCGGCGCAAAGCAGAGCAGCTGCAACCTGTAAAAAGAAATGTATACATCAAATCAGAAATTATGCACCTCATCTAGCAAACTATAAATATACAAACACTATTTTCTCACTACCTTGATATTTGGTAACTTAACCACCCTTAATCCTGACATCATCATGCCCATGCCCTGAAGCCGAAAGAAGAGTCCATTAAACAAGACTGCAGTTAAATTTAATAGATGCCTCAGAAAGTGAGTTAGACAATAAAAGTGTTTATAAAATTGTTACTAACTGCAAATGACAAAAGCATTAATTTTCAACATTTAGCATCAGAGGTTACAAAAGCAGTTCCATAACATGATCACGCAAGACTGCAGGAACATACAGTAACTAACAAAGGAAAACAAAACTATATATAAAACTTCTTTTACTTCTTTGGTGATGACATACCTTTCAGAAATTCTATTCATGGAGATATGTTTTATTTTAAGACACTGCAGGCGTATATTATTTCTGAAGAACTAAATAATGAGCCATGCATGTAGAAATAATCATTATGAAACAGTAATCATCTGATTATATCATTCCTGAAACGAGCATGCTATTTCCAATGACATCTGTTTAACAATATCAATGTTGCATATACTTCCAAAAAAATGTCAGTGAAACCGGAAACTAGTGAAAGACAACAAAATTTAGGTCTAGATCTAGTTTCATTACCTTTACTTACACCGTTCTAACGACCATGCTTTAGTGGTGCATACCTATGAGTATAGAGAGCCCACCAACCAGCATATTTGTATTAGAAGTTTAATAATCTTAAACGGGTAAATTTATATACCACTTTTCACTACTATGGTGGGAACCTATGGTGAAAATGCACAATGTTAGTCACATACACATCATTTTAGAACTACTCCTTAGTGAAAACTTGAAACAAGTATGAAACAAGTACCAGCCATGCCTCTCTACTCTAAAAGCCTGTGGTTAAAGGTGTCACCAAGCACTTGATCAAATTGTGCTTCCACTCTTATTTTCCAAGCTTCTCGTGCGACTCCAAGCATCAGAACTTTGCCATCATCTAATAGTGCAAGTTGGATAGGTTTGTACCCCATACCTGGACCAACCTTTTTCTTAGGTGTGTTTTGGCACTTCACTTGGGAGTGCAGTCTGGCTATGGATAGGAAAATTGAAACCCATATTGAACTAGGATCATACATGGGTGGTAATGGGCTTGACAAAAACTAAACCCAGAGGGAACCAATACCAGAATTAAACCGAACTGGACCGAGATAAAATTGGTCGTCTTACATCTTTTTTGCTAGCTAAAGAGTATCAACAATCATTTCAAATTATCAGTCCAAGCATCTGCTTGTCCGATCTTCTCTCACTTTTTCATTGTACATGAATTACATTTTTTTTTTGTTTAAAAATATTAAATATTTAAATTAGTCAACTGTAGTCTAAGTAAAAAACTAGTTCAATGTGTTCTCAATTCCTGGTTAAGAATTATTATGAGTTTGGTTCGGAGTTAAAATTTTGATTCTTAATCAGGTAACAGGGTGTTCAACTCATTTCTAGCGCATTGAGTACAAGCATGAGATTTACAAAAATTTACAAGTATTGGCTCAGATATGGATAACGATTTTTTATGTAGGTAATGTCAGTGTTAACACTTTCTCGTCTCCAATTTATTTTGACGTTTATGTTTCTGTCAGTGATGTAGAACTACATAGGAAAGTGGTCATATATAATGAAAAGATCATATATAATGGAAAGACATAATGAATGAAGAAAAGCAAAGGCTGAAATTTGGATTACTGCATGCAGCTGCAAGAGCTACAAATTTGCAGTTGACTAAAATTTCAAATTCTATCATCTAGATTCTAGAGTTGAAATCTCCAATAAATTTGCCACAGGGATGCATGATAGATTAGTTTGATTTTGGGAAGTATCTTCTAGATTTTCTTTAATTCTAGAAGAGCCATGATTTAGTACGGGCACTCGATTAGTTACCATCCAATCAAGTTGATCACAATTATATTGCTTTATTTTAGAAACCTTTGTATTTATGTTCTAGTAGAATTTTTCTATTAGTCTTATAATCTTATTTTTAAAAGGTAAGTTGTTGACTTAGAATTTTAGTTTGCTTAAAAATCTACTTCAGATATGGTTAGGAATTTTGCTTCTAAGTAAATTTGATTGTTTGAACCTACAAATTCTTATATTATTTTCCTTACTTGAAAATGGAATGGTGAATTTTTTTTTAATAATAGAAGTATAGAACAAACCTGTGATTGGTGATTGTTGAGCCTGAATCATAAGGCTTGGAGCATTAAGCCACAATAAAGTTGTGAAGCCTCTAGTCTCTTTTTTCTGTCTTACCAAATCTCAATAATAACCCTAACCATCACTAGATTCTCCATCAAATAAGGCAGCAATCAAACATATGACTATGTAATAGTAGTTTTTAAAGTTTAGCACACTTCAAAATTCTTGTAGTTTAAAGGCAAAAATAAAAACTGATGCAACATAAACAAAAACAAAGAATAATAAAATATCTTACAAGTATATCCTGACAAATCCATGCATATGATGCATTCTTATGTGCAGCCCAGAAAATGGCGAGTGCTGCACAGAAAGGAAAGAGCACGATAGCCAGTATTGAAGCCTCTCCAAGAATAGGAAGTTCTACTTTGAACTCCCCACAGCCTTTGAATAGCCTGTCCAAATAATATTTTAGTAAAATAAGATGAAAGTATGGAGAAAACTCAAAAACACACAATCACGGATGCATATACATATATATGTATAAGGTTTTAAGCTCCAGGGGAACAAATTTAAAGTTTGTTCCTGTCTAACAAACTATACCATGGGCCATTCCAATGGGCAATCCAAAATACTCATAAAAATTATACAGACAGAAAATTACATGGTTTGAAGATCTCTAACCTATTTATCTCATGGTTGCAAAATATGTTGCTTCTTAATACAGAAACATGAACCGTTAAAAGCTTTCAAATTGTATAATATTTGTGATCCATGTATATTTGATAACATGATAACAAGAGGAACAGAGTAGATCATCCCTGTCAAAAGTCAAACCTGAACTTTAAAAGTTAAAACAAACTTGGAGGTTGTTCCAGGGGATTTTAAACATCAGACATACATAAAGGACACGTGTGAGTGCACCTGCACTCACCTGCCACCAACACACATGAAAAATGGTTATGAGGGGACAGCTCACTTCATTAAATGAGCTATCAAAAGATAGACTCAGGAAGGTCCATACTAATAGTCCAATCAGAACAGGTGGACTCCACCGCTCCAATCTCCTGGTTGCCAATTTTGTTAAATGAGGTGTTAGTTCAACATCCAATATCACACACGTGCGCACGAACACCCGCGCGTCCACGCAAAGACACACAACCTCACGTACACGGACACACACCCGCACCTGCACACAGATGCAAGCATGCACACAGTGTGTGTGTGTGTGTGAACACCATGAATGCTTTTAGTATATTTTGGTTTTACGCAATCGAACAAACACGAACAATGATAATCATCCAATTAAAAGGAAGAAAGGTGAAGTTTCTTATCAAGTAGGAAATGTCCTCCCATGGAGAGTGATATACATTACATTGACCGTTCATCCATATGGCAAATAGAGAATTAGAGATGGAAAGTGGTAGATTTTGAGTTTAAAAACCTTCCAGTGATCATACCTCAAAATAAGTTCTACTATGCAAGCATGAAGTCCCTGGTAAATAAAAAGCATATGTAACTATGTAAGCATAAGGAAAGAAATACAAGAGCAGCATAGTAGATCAAAGCGACCTAATGAGGAAACAATCTCTAAATAAACACATACCGTGGTACCCCCAATGCAGAAGAGCACAACCAGCACCCATATAGAGTATTTAGACAGAACAAAGTACAGCAGCAACAGAACCGCAGATGCTGTTACAAGAAAAATTATAGCTGAACTTGTTTTAAGTTCCACACTTTCTTCAGCATCTTCATTCTTGAATCCAGGATCTGATGGATCCTGTCAAAAAGAAGTCTAGCATTATAACTAATGAGGAACTTTTAAGTTACAGGTATAGTATGCATGTATACATTCCTTGGTCAACGCGCTGCAAATACTGCACAAGTGTCGCATTTATAATATTGCTTAGTTAAAAAAACAATAAAAACAACAATAATATATAATAATACAATCAGAAATTTGAAAAGAATAAACATGATCCAGAATTTTCAGAGAACTACAAAACATAGAATGATGGAAATAGCAAACATATAAAATTGCACATTCAATTGTAACGAAAATTTGTATGATACATATGATTTATGACAAATGAGAGATGGGGGCAAAACTGTAGCAAGTAACAAATAAATGTCTCACAAAAATTCTTAAACTTATTGGGGGATTTCGTGAAAGTTTCAAACTTTAGGGAGTCAAGTACCAAAGGCCCAAACTAATTGGGGTTTAGTGAAATTTACCCTATTTTCCCACAAACATTTAACTAGTTTTGAAGATATATCTAAGAACTAGAGAATATGGTGAAACAAGTATCTACTTAACAGTGAAGAATAAGATTGTGCGTCAATATGTCAACAAACCTAACAACATATAAGTCGCAACATATTTGCAACAGAATAATTGCAATTTAGTAGTGAAAGCATACTGGGTACAGAGAATCATGTTGGATATCATGTCCCCATGATATAATTTTGATGATAACAATTTATTCATATTGAGAATCACTATGTGTGTTATACATATGCACTAACATTTAAATACAACTTTCAACATCAAATATGAACAAGTGCAATATGAGTTCAAAGCATTATGAAGTAAAGAAGATGAAGAACAAGTACATCAATGTAATTTTTACATCTTTCTTTACTTAGAATTTTTGTACAAGCCTTGATCACTCACACACACGCACATAGAAATTAGAACACACTAACACAGGCATAGTGTGTTGGTTAACAATAGAAATCTACTATGTTAACCATTAGAGTATTTAGTTTATCATTAAGTCTAAAAATAGTTCATACATAACATTTTTACTCTTCAGTAGTAGACTAATAAGAATAATAGTCGACTACTGTAGTCTAAGTTCAAGATATAAAGTTTCTGTAAAACTACAGATAGTCGACTACTGTGTCTAAGTTCAAGATATAAAGTTTCTGTAAAACTACAGAGTAGTCGACTACTAAGAATTATAGTCGACTACTCAGCTTTGTATTTTGTACTAAGAATTATAGTCGACTACTCAGCTTTGTATTTTGATTTACAGAACTTTAGTTTTACAGAGTAGTCAACTACAAGTAAATATAGTCGACTACTGAGCTTTGAAAATTATTTTACAGAACGTTTATTTTACAGTGTAGTCGACCACTAACAATTATAGTCGACTACTGATCTTTGATTTTTGTTTTCCAGACTTTCTGTATTACAGAGTAGTCGACTACAAAGAAGAATAGTCGACTACTAAGCTTCAGTTTCTGAATTCTAGACTTTCTGTATTACAGAGTAGTCGACTACTATGCATTATAGTCGACTACTAAGACAGTTTTTCTGAACGTTTGAAATTAAACTTGTGACAGTTTTTAGCCGTTTTTTAAACGTTTTGAAGTTTAAAAATTTGTCTTTTCAAGGGCTATATAAAGGTTATATGTTCAGAAAAATGACACATGATTCTATACCCATAAGCTTTGATCTTTGTGCATTTTTCAAGTGTCAAAAATTCTGATTTTGAAGAAAAAGAAAAGTTTCTGAAATTGCCTTTGATCCTCATTCAAATACTTATTATTCAGACAATTTACAGAAGTTAGAATCATTCCTAAGCCAGTTAGAATCATTCCTAAGCCACTACTACATAGCACTACAAATCAAGGCTTATAGGAATTGAGTTGTTGCTTCAAAGAAAAGTTCTCTCGATTTGTGAGAGGTGTTAATCTCTTGGTTTAGAGATTGGTGTGCAAATTGGCAATGTGTTTGTCAATTGGTGTTATAATTTACAGGGACTTGTAAATTGGTCAGGTTTATTTTTGATTTTGTAAGTTTATTCAAAATCATAGTGGAAACTCTCAAGTGGGATTTGCTTGGGGATTGAATATACACCGGGTTGGTGGAACCAGTATAAAAACTTTGATAAACAAATATACTTACTCCCCCTGCATAAAAGCATATTAGAGTCTACAATTCATATTGTTGAGTCTATAAAACATAAATTCTGAAAACATTCTCTTCTTTTGTCATTAACAAAAAGAAATACATAACTATCCTAAACATATCATAATTTCTTTTTCATGAGCAAGTACTTCAAACAGATCATCCAGATTATGAACATAGTCCATAACTTCACCCATCCAAATAGGTATGCAAAGACTTTTCATAAAAACCAAAAGTTTCACAATGTTCATCACCATAATCTGTTTAAAATATATATAGCACATGAATTATCTTTTCAATCATCATAAACGCAACATTAAAATTCAATCCCATAAAACATACTAAAGTTAAATCAACATAATACATATTACATATGTCTTAAAAACAAATAACTATGGCATAGTTTGTGACATTCAAACTTAAACAACCAACATAACACATATTACCATTATTTTAACACTAAACATAAAAAATTATCCAAATCTAAAATGATGCATGCTTGGTCTTCTAAGGTGTTGGAGGTGGTTGATGTCCTTGAAAGAAAGCACTGAGCTTCATATCCAAGGTATCAAACTTCATATTCATTGTGTCAAACTTTATCTCCAGAATATCAAATTTGTTGGTTAAAGCCTCTTGATTTTCCAGCATGAGCACATTTTGATCAAACAAAGCTTTTTGACCCACTTCCAAATCTAGTATTCTAACAGACATTGTATTGTATTGTGCATCTGAGAAACAAAAGGATTCATGCATTTGTGGTATTGGTGGTGGAATATGAGAGGAGGGTCCAGCTTCATCAGTGTTTTGTGGTTGGGGTTGTTGTTTAATTTCATGTTGATATTGAGTCTGAAAATTTTGTAGTTCGTTCTATTTAATTTTTTGACTCCAATGCCCTATCCAGGATGAAATTAACAAACTTTAAAATTCACCAAGATGAACCTCAACATCAACCTGAAACAGAACAACAACCCCAACCACAAAACACTGATGAAGCTGGACCCTCCTCCTCTCATATTCCACCACCAATACCACAAATGCATGAATCCTCTTGTTTCTCAGATACACAATACAATACAATGTCTGCTAGAATACTAGACTTGAAAGTGGGTCAAAAAGCTTTGTTTGATCAAAATGTGATCATGCTGAAAAATCAAGAGGTCTTAACCAACAAATTTGATATTCTGGAGATGAAGTTTGACACAATGAATATGAAGTTTGATACATTGGATATGAAGCTCAGTGTTTTCTTTCAAGGACATCAACCACCTCTAGCACCTTAGAAGACCAAGCATGCATCATTTTAGATTTGGATAATTTTTTATGTTTAGTGTTAAAACAATGGTAATATGTGTTATGTTGGTTGTTTAAGTTTGAATGTCACAAACTATGTCATAGTTATTTATTTTTAAGACATATGTAATATGTATTATGTTGCTACTATGTTGATTTAACTTTAGTATGTTTTATGGGATTGAATTTTAATGTTGCGTTTATGATGATTGAAAAGTTAATTCATGTGCTATATATATTTTAAACAGATTATGGTGATGAACATTGTAGAACTTTTGATTTTTATAGGAAGTCTTTGCCTATCTATTTGGATAGGTGAAGTTATGGACTATGTTCATAATCTGGATGATTTGTTTGAAGTACTTGCTCATGAAGAAGAAATTATGATATGTTTAGGATAGTTATGTATTTCTTTTTGTTAATGACAAAGAGGGAGAATGTTTTCAGAATTTATGTTTTATAGACTCAACAATATGAATTGTAGACTCTAATGTGCTTTTATGCAGGGGGAGTAAGTATATTTATTTATCTAAGTTTTTATTTTTTAAATATACTTACATATGCATAAATTGCAGGGGGAGTAAGTATATTTATTTATCTAAGTTTTTATTTTTTAAATATACTTACATATGCATAAATTGTTTGTCATCATCAAAAAGGAGGAGAATGTTGGATATCATGTCCCCATGATATAATTTTGATGATAACAATTTATTCATATTGAGAATCACTATGTATGTTATACATATGCACTAACATTTAAATGTAGCTTTCAACATCAAATATAAACAAGTGCAATATGAGTTCAAGGCATTATGAAGTAAAGAAGATGAAGAACAAGTACATTAATGTAATTTTTACATCTTTCTTTACTTAGAATTTTTGTACAAGCCTTGATCACTCACACACACACATAGAAATTAGAACACACTAACACAAGCATAGTGTGTTGGTTAGCAATAGAAATCCCTTATGTTAACCATTAGAGTATTTAGTTTATCATTAAGTCTAAAAATAATTCATACATAATATTTTTACTCTTTAGTAGTCGACTAATAAGAATAATAGTCGACTACTGTAGTCTAAGTTTAAGATATAAAGTTTCTGTAAAAACTACAGAGTAGTCGACTACTAAGAATTATAGTCGACTACTCAGCTTTGTATTTTGATTTACAGAACTTTAGTTTTACAGAGTAGTCGACTACAAGTAAATATAGTCAACTACTGAGCTTTAAAAATTGTTTTACAGAACGTTTATTTTATAGTGTAGTCGACCACTAACAATTATAGTCGACTACTGATCTTTGATTTTTATTTTTCAGACTTTCTGTATTACAGAGTAGTCGACTACAAAGAAGAATAGTCGACTACTAAGCTTTAATTTATGAATTCCAGACTTTCTGTATTACAGAGTAGTCGACTACTATGCATTATAGTCGACTACTAAAATAGTTTTTCTGAACGTTTGAAATTAAACTTGTGACAGTTTTTAGCCGTTTTTTAAACGTTTTGAAGTTTAAAAATTTGTCTTTTCAAGGGCTATATAAATGTTATATGTTCAGAAAAATAACACATGATTCTATACCCATAAGCTTTGATCTTTGTGCATTTTTCAAGTGTTAAAAATTCTGATTTTGAAGAAAAAGAGAAGTTTCTGAAATTGTCTTTGATCCTCATTCAAATACTTATTATTCAGACAATTTACAGAAGTTAGAATCATTCCTAAGCCACTACTACACAACACTACAAATCAAGGCTTATAGGAATTGAGTTGTTGCTTTAAAGAAAAGTTCTCTCGATTTGTGAGAGGTGTTAATCTCTTGGTTTAGAGATTGGTGTACAAATTGGCAAGGTGTTTGTTAATTGGTGTTACAATTTGCAGAAACTTGTAAATTTGTCAGGTTTGCTTTTGATTTTGTAAGTTTATTCAAAATCATAGTGAAAACTCTCAAGTGAGATTTGCTTAGGGACTGGATGTACACCGGGTTGGTGGAACTAGTATAAAACTTTGTGTTTGTGATTGTGATTTTCTGAGATTGTCATTCTTTCTTTGTAATTTATAATCTACTATGCATAAATTTTAAAAGAATACTATTCACCCCCCTCTAGTGTTGTAGTGTATCTATTTCAGATCCTACAAATCAATGAGATTCTTACAAAAAATTCTGCATTTAAGAAGTATGGAAATGTTATTTATCACAAAAAAAAATCTATTTGTCAAATAATTATAATCTCATCACCTGGTTGCGTGCATCAGCTCCAGACCAAACAGAAGAAATGATGATGGTTGCAACTGCCATCATCCATAAAAAAACCACTGAACCTTCCACTATTGGCTTATCTGGAGAATACAGAAGAACCTCCACTGCAACAAAGGGGAAAAAAAATTCAATGGCATCAATAAAGACATCTAAAAAAACTTCAAAAATATACCAGTTGCAAGTAATTGATATGGTTATATGATCTTTGCTTCTTAAGTGTAGACAGGAGGATACCCAAGAGCAATCCATAATGTGATTGTGCAGTGCATGTTGTATCCAGATAAAGTATTGGCCCACATGATAATAATTATCTTGATTTGTTATAACATTCAAATTTTTATTCTATAAAGAGTTGTGGTGGATTGAGATAAGATCATATCTAGATAGTTTCCTTGATAAAGGAAAATATTTTTTCAAGAAGTCTTATCTTTTAAGAATTCTAGTTATAACAGAAGGGTACTAACATAGCCTATAAATACAGCCATAGTTCCTCCATCAGATTTATGCTATTCGGTAAGGTATAGGCTAGAAACTCATTATTTATTTATTTATTTTATAACAGTGATCTAATTTTGATCTTTGTTTCTGTATATGCTCATATTATCTCTAGTTCTGGTCTAAGTTACAGATTGTTCTAAAAACCAACAGGTGGAGGTATCTTTTAAATTAATTTATTTTCGCTACGTGATCTGTATTTATTTAGATTATAATTTGTTTCATGTGGTATTAGAGCAAGCCAACTCTATCTATGTTGTTTAGTATTTTTAAGATTTTTTTAAAGTTCGAATCCATTACTATCTGTTGTTGTTTCCGATGACTCAAGAATTTTTATATGATTTATCTGATCCAGTCTATGCAATCGGTACAACATAGCAACAATGAACATGAAAAAGGACAGAAACAAAAGCAAGAATTGGTTTCGGATATATATATGTATATATAGAACATGAAAAAGGACAGAAACAAAAGCAAGAATTGCTCGTCCCCTTTGTCTCTATGATGTACAAAGTTTATAAGATTTTATTGCTGCTTTGCAATGAAGACTGTCATGTGATTTTCTTTTATAAAATATAACTATGTATGAATATGGTTAATCTTGCTCCATGTGATAGTGTCAGATAATGTTGTTTTTCCTTGGTTATCACTAAAGATTAATTTGTTTTGATAACGCCTACAGTTAGATCATATAGGTTCGACTGCTGATATATCATATTCAGATGCATCTGTAATAGATATTGTCTATTTGTATGCGAAACTTTCTCGCTTGTAGTTTAGTTCTGCTACAGTAAACCACAAATATTTCTGGACTGAAAATAATAAAGTTCAATTACATTCTTTTGTGATTTTATATGAAGCATGTGCAAAATATGTGTTCTACAGTTTTTTAAAATTCTGGGTTTATGATGTCTTGAAGTAATAACGATTATCGAATGACTTAAGAGTAACCATAAAATCTTAAGTCTTTGGATAGTCAAATAAAGATATCTTAAGTCTTTGGATAGTCAAATAAAGATTAAAACACTCCATTAAGGTTTAATGACATCTAAGTTGCGATTAATTCAAAGAAATAGTAACTTGGCCCTTATAGGGAAGTCATTATTGTTTTGGATTAGTTGGAAAATGATATTAAAAGGCAATATTAAGAATAAAATTTTCTTACGCCCATAGGTGTGGAATAAATTATTTCTTGATATTAATTTAATAAAGTAAGAATAAATTCATGCGTGATGCTACCTCTACCAATAGAAAGGTTTGAATTTATTTTTATTCTACACGGACATCGGTTATTTAGAACTCAAGTTTTAGTTCATAGCACTAAAATTTAAATTCCTTGATTATTACAGATTTCCTACTGCTTATGCTATTATAATACTTTGTGGTAATAACTTTGATGATTGGAAATACATAATCATTTTCTCATTAGGATGCATGGATTTGGAATTGGAGCTTCGTGTGGATCAACCACCTGATCCTATGAAGGAAAGTATGCCACATGAGAAACAAATGTGTGACTGATGGGAAAGATCTGTGTGACTGATGGGAAAGATCAAACTGATGGAGTTTGATGCATATTAAGTCTCATGTTATAAGAGCATCCGAGACTTTATTTCAGATTGCCCTAAGACCAAAGACTACTTGAAAGCCATTGAGGAGCAATTTGTTAGCTTGGATAAAGCTTTAATCAGCACCTAGAAGGAGAGGCTTTTAAGTAAAACATTCAACCATTCAAAGAGTGTGCGCGAGCACATTATGGAAATGAGGGACACTGCTGCTCAACTCAAGTCCCTTGAGTTAGAAAATTTTGAGTCATTTTGGTGCATTTTGTTCTATAACTCTCTTTCTTTTGAATATGAACCATTTAAAATTCTTATAACGCACGTAAGGAAAAACGGTCTGTGAATGAATTATTGACCATGTGTGTTCAGGAGGAAGAGAGATTAAAGCATGAGAAGTTTTTTTTTTGCAAAAGGCTAGGCATATGAAGAAAGATTATATTAAGTACCTAAAATGGCTCATAAAGAAAAGGTACTTTTATATCTTTTGTATGTCATGAATCCTTTTTCCTTGAAATTCCAAATAATTCATGGTGGATTGACACTGGTTCTATAATCCATATTGTTAATAACATGCAAGGCTTTCTCAACCTAAGGAAGTCGAAGGGAAATAAACAGTGCATCTATTCAAGAAATCAAATGTGTTCACAAGTCGAGGTTGTGGGAACTTTTAGATTAATTTTGAAGACCGATTTCACATTAGATTTAGAAAATATCTTTTATGTTCCGAATTCTCTAGAAATTTGATTTCAATTTCGAAATTAATTTCTGTTGGTTATGATTTTCATTTTGAATGACATATTTTGATATTTTATTGAATAAAGTTCATGTTGGTAGTGGAATCTTAATTGATAATTTACATAAAATTGATCTAGATCTCACGTTTGAATTGACTTATTTGAATATGCATATTGATGTTGACATAAAGTAGAATTTCATTAATGAGAACTTTTCTACCTTATGACACAGGAGATTGGGACATATCTCCATAAAGCAAATTAAGAGATAAGTAAATGATGGACTACTAAAAACTCTTAATTTTTCTGATTTTGATACTTGTGTGGATTGCATTAAGGGAAAGCAACCAAGAAGTCCGCTAAAAGTGCTAAGAGGAGTACTAATGTTTTAAAAATCATACACACACTGATATCTGTGGACATTTTACTACTCGTTGCCTAAATAGTCAGAGATATCTTATCTCATTTATTGATAACCATACCAGATGTATGTATCTCTATATTCTTTTTAACAAAGCAAAGGCACTAGATGCTTTTAAGAGCTATAAGGCGGAGGTAGAGAAAAAAAGGAAAAGAAAATTAAAACCGTAAGATCAGATAGTGGAGAGTACTATGGTAGGTACACAGAAAAGGGACAAATGTTAGATCCATTTGCAAAACTCCTCAATGAAGAGTGCATCATTGCCCAATATACAATGCCCGGTACACCACAACAAAATGACGTATCATAAAGGAGGAATCACATGCTTATTGAAATGGTGAGGAGCGTGATTAGTAATTCTAATTTTCTCAGATCTCTTCGGAGTGAAGTTTTGAAAACTGTAGTATATATTTCAAATAGGATTCTTTCCAAAACACCATTTAAACTATGGTATGGATGGAAACCTAGTTTAAATCACTTACACATATAGGGTTGTCCAGTTGAAGTAAGGATTTATAATCCATACACAAAGAAACTTGATCAGGGGTGAGGGGACAACTAGTGGTTATTTCATTAGCTATCCAGTTAACTCCAAAGGATATCAATTTTATTATCCTTCACACTCTACGAGAGTAGTTGAGACATTTCCTCGTAGGAGAGAATTTGAGGAAGTACGTGAGGAAATTGAGTTCCATAAAGTTAGAGATTTGATTATTCTTCAAGGAAATCAAACAGATGACCTTAATGAGCAACTAGTTTAACAACAACCAGCCCCCGAAATTGAAGTTCATAATGAACCTCCTATTGATGTAAATCAAGAGGTAGGATTAAGAATGTCATCAAGGGAAAGAAGATTGACTATTTCTAGTAATTATGTTGTATATCGTCAAGAGTCTGATTTTGATATCGTACCTAAAAAGTTTCACAACGTTGTTTTATTATGTTGATTTTTGAGAACATCATTGATCAATGTATATACCTTAAAGTCAGTGGGAGCAAGATTATATAACTAGATGAGACAAAATAATTCTTCTCTGAAAACTTTAAAATTAAGGACTTAGGTGAAGCTTCTTATGTCATTGGTATAGAAATTCACAGAGATAGGTCTAAAAGAACTTTGGGACTATCTCAAAAGGATAGGTCTAAAAGAACTTTGGAACTATCTCAAAAGGATAAGTCTAAAAGAACTTTGGGACTATCTCAAAAGGCTTACATTGAAAATGTATTAGAGAGATTCAGATTAAAAATTTGTGCGTTCATGTTAGCACATATCATCAAAGGGGATAAATTCAGTCAAGATCAATATCTATAAAATAAGCTAGAAAAGAAATAGATGAAGAGCATAACTTATACATCAGATGTGGCCAGTTTGATGTATGCACAGGTCTGCACAAGACCTAGCATCGAATTTGTAGTAGGATTATAAGGTCGATACCAGAGTAATCCTAGTATGGAGCATTGGATGGCTACTAAAAGAGTCATGAGATATCTGAAGAGAATCAAAAACCGCAGATTACTTATTGCCTTTATTGATCATTTGGAGATGGTTGGTTATTCAAATTTAGACTTTGCTGGATGTGTAGATTTAAGAAAGTCTACTTTGGGATATGCCTTTCTTCTCGCCGGATGTGCTATATCATGGAGAAATACTAAGCAAATAATTATTGCTTCATGTACCATGAAGGCAGAATTTATTGCATGCTATGAAGGCACTACACATGCATTATGGTTGAGGAATTTTATCTTAGGCCTCAGTGATCGATTCTATTGTGAGGCCCAAGACAATCTATTCTGATAATTCAGCGGCTGTTTTCTTCTTCAAAAAATAATAAAAGTGGAAGTCGAAGAAAACATATTGACATAAAGTATCTTAGTGTTAGAGAGAATGTGAA